TGTATTTACAAAGGTTCTCGATTTCCTTCCATTCGTCAACCAAAAGGACGAAAAATTATAGTCACAAAACGCAGATAAATTAAGAAAAATGAACCTTCTGCATTTCCTGCAGTGATGAGAGCGAGGAGCCTTGTAGCCTTCGCAAATTGAGCAATACTGCAGGTACTGGCAGTCGCTGCTGTTTTCCTAAATGATAGAAAAACGATTCACGTTTATAAACAAGAAAAATTGGTATTAAATCAATTTTAATGGCAGACCGGGGTCCAGCCGAGCGGAACGAAGCCTGGACCGACGAATGAAGAAAGCAATAAGTTGGACATCGTGCAACAGCTGGCCAGACAGAAGGACAACAGGCTGGCGCACGCAAAAAGGCTGGACATTGGGGGCCACCATTGTATATGGCAAAACAGCGTCGACGTAGTGATGCAGAAAACCAGCAACAGCGCAATGATGGGCCCGTAATGCATAAGGCGTCGCCAAAACGGCTTTTCCACCGTTTCTCGTTCCATACTAGATACTGCCTGAAGCATAAGAATTCTGTACAACGAAAACAACGCTGAGATAAACCGAAATCCTACCATTTTACGACGATTCTCTGCAATTTTTAACGTAACTGTAGTCTTCTCTGTTACAAATGAATTTAAATTTCATTTAACCTCATTTTACATTTTTTCCTAGGCTTTAAATTTGGGTACAGTATCTTACGCTATCAGAATGATCAAAAGGTACAATTTAAAACAGCGTCAGTTCTTCAAACATTTTAAAGTCCAATTCGCGGCGAAATCATAAAGTATCCACTGCTGAACAGCACTTTCACTCATAAACTTCAAGACGGTCACATAACTAAGCAAGAACGTCCGATACTGATGTCTCCGTTTGCTTTCCAAGACAATTCCATGTAAAGCGGGTGTGGTCCTATTTTCGAGTGTGAAACTTATGTTCATGTTGTGCAATGCGTGAGTAATATGACTATATCGTATCTTGACATATCTCACATTTGAAAATATAATCAACATCACCGCAAGGTAGGCCAATGATTAGGGATTTGGAGATTATGAACGCAGAGTATAAGGGCGGTTTTAAATTCATTATTTAACTGTTCAAACTTGATCAAAACGCATGCCCTCTCCCAATTCTAAGGGTAACAAATGATAAGAAACAGTGCAAGCTGAACAGATGCTGCAGAAATAACATCTATAGTAGACAAAGGAACTGTAGCACAATAAGATAACATATTTTCATGTATTGTCGCTGATTCTTTGCTTAGAAATTCAACCGTTTCTCGACAGATCAACGATGATAGGCTTTCAATCAGCCCATTTCGTAACCTAGGAACATAGAAACTAGTGTTACCGATGGTAATCA